CAGAATTTTTTAAAAAGGCTTCCTTTGATCTTGGAGTTTGTCACTTTTATAGGGAATTTAATATAATTTCATTTAATTTATAGTCAATGGTTATAATTTATTAAACTCATCGATCAATTTACTAAATGTCTAAATTATCTTACTTGCTATATCTTACTGATTATATTACTATATTATTATCTTACTGATTATATTACTATATTATTGTCTTATCTTATTAATATCTTACTAAAATGTTTTTTACATATGACTTACAGTGTATATATATTTATAAATCAAACATTGCTGTTTGTAAGGAAAGATTGCATATATATTTTGCAGGAAGCTCAGCGTTTTGTGAAAAATAGAGTATAATATTATATTGCTTTGGAAATCAGCGCACATCAAGAAATCGGAATCGAAATCGAAATTTTCCGACTAGAGTGACACAAATAAGTCAGCATCCGAAAGTAAGCAATCATTTATTGAAATTTGTAGCAGTCAAGCGACGATTTTGGCTGGCAAACGCAATAGTCCTGTAAGGACGAGGATCTGCAATTAACCCACACACGCAAACGTTGGGCATGACAATTTTCGAACGCAGTGCTGTGGCGATTCATAAACGATGTGCTATCGGCGATTTGTTTGTTTTGGTCAGTTGATTAATATGGCAGCTGTAATCAGGACTCCTCTGAGTGTGTGTGTGTGCGTGGGTGTGTGGGTGCGTGGGTGTGTGGGTGCCTGCGATTGACTAGGCTGCGCTTGTGTGCACTGATTGCAGGATATGAGCAAACATCAGTGGCAAGCCAGACTGGATGCGTGGCAAATATTTCAATATTTCGGAGCGTGCTCGAGAGCAGCTCAAGCTGCAGCCGTTTTAATTGCCGCCCAAAAGGCTGTCCCGGGATATTTTTTATTCTCGGCACTCGCCTTCTGCTCGTTTGCATATTTTCTCTGGGCCCAAATAACGCGCCACAATTTTAATTAGTTTTAACCAGCGCCAAAAATAAAAGAAGCCGACAGCAGCGACCAAAGTCACGCAGCCTGCTGATGATAATGTCTCGACGCACAACTTTAAAATTCCGCTGAGGGCCGCATGGCGGATGTCGGATGTTGGATGTTGGATGTCGAATGCCGGAGGAATCAGTGGCATCAGTGGCATCAGTGCCATCAGGGGCATCGAAGGCGCCGTGCCACGGGGTCGTCTATCTCAGGGCAAATATGTGCAGGAAAAACAACATGAACCAATACTCGGCCAATACTCGGCAGCACAAACCCAACGCCCAGGCATAAACATATCCGTGATGGCCGCTCCATGTGGGCAAACATGTGAAACGGCTACGTCGTCAGCGTTGATTATTGTCAAACAGAGGGCGAAGAAAAACGAAGGACAGTTGTCGACAGCATCAACAACAAGATCTGCTTGGGTCGCTAGTCTTGGTGTCCAAAAGTCAAAGGGCGCCAGCTGCGGGCTAGACAATACCCTGTACAGGCTTGAAATGGAATGCATCAGGTGGAAATCAGATGCTAGCGAGAACAGCCTTTTGCTTTCTAAAAAAACTTTGAATAGAATTAAATAGAGAAGCGGTTAACCACTCTGCTGGGTATCAGCAACATTACTACTCTCAGTGAGCTGCAGGTGTGCTGGACCCTACTCGCCCATATGGCAGCTGATTTTCTAGATACCCCCGAATGTGGCATACGTTCCTGCTGTCCGGATGAGCCGCCGGAGCAGAGACAGACGCAGAACGGTCACGGGCACTTTAACGGGCCCTTAAAGCCAAACGATGTGAAGAGCCTGCACAAACTGCAGAGCCCAGATCCCAGAGCCCAACACATGTGCGAGCTGGCAGGCGGTGGCGAACGAACCTCCGATATCTTGGAGCGCTTTATCGCAAAAGCCCCTCTCACTGTGGCTTTTATTTGTCAAACAAAGTATTTTTATTGGCTTTTTAGGAAGCCCTGCGCCCGTCCAACGTCAACTGACGCCTCAGCCTGACAGGGATGGTCCTGGAAAAGGAGCGGGCAGTGGAGGCGAGCGCGTGCTCCTTGTCTGCTAAATACTCGACACTTGGTATGTGATTGAAATAATGCCGGGCGATAATCCGTGCCTTATTAAACGCTCCTCACATCGGCTCCTCAGTCACTGCAGGATTTGGGTCTGGCAGGTGTCTGGGATATGGGCTCACACATGTGCTCCAATGGGTCTGTGGGCCCAGAACTTAATGTAAATCTATTGCTGCGACGCGTTGACAGGCGTTAGATTTTCAATTTCTTACCTTTTGCTTATCAGGCATCCTTGGCTCACGTAAAGTGTCCACTTTTTGGGCCCTGCAAGACGGATGTGTCATTTTCTTGGGTTTACGATGCCCACAGTACTTAGCTCGTGGCTTAAATTAAACAAAATTACCTTTAGCCTGAAAACTGTTTGCAATATGGCCAGAAATTAGTATAATAAGAGATAACGAAACACCCTGGCGGGAAACAAATCGAATGCAAACAACCAAATTGGGTGGCAGGCTGCTCCGATATGAAAATGCGTTAACATAAAAGGCGGATTCGATTAACTCGTGCGCATACCGCGTGGGGCGGAGATTAGGAACAGTACTGAAATCCAATCAGCACCCCAATGGGGGCGGCTGGGAACCGACATTGAAAATTAGATAATTTACAGCGCTCGGCGGTTACCCCACCGAGAGCACGGATCCCATAACTCGCCCGTATTTGCAGCCAGGACCACGAAAACCGCGACACACCGCCAAAGTCGCCCACGAAGGGGAGCTCGTGAGTTAGGCGCTCCACACACAGTGCAAATATTGCATTTTGATTATCGCGGAAAAATAACGCCCCCCGATTTAATTTTTGATAGCTGCCTATAAAAAAGTCGAGCATAAAATCACTCATTATTCTATGGACAGAGGTCAGGCCATGTCCACTCAAAATCTGAACCGAGTCAACCCTTCGTACATTGGAGGTGGCGCCCCACGCACACACGTGTGTGCACACAGCGCTTTCGGCGATAAAGTTAATTTGCTGATTACAAAGTAACCTTGCCATAATTTATGTGGCAAGGTGATAGGGTGAGGCGAGTCCAGGTCTGGTTGGACCTGCCGCCGCCCGGCACAACCGTAGTCCTGGTTCACATTGGACCCTATGGAGAATATATGTACATATGTATGTACATGCATTTTTCCCCCACCCATTTGCCCGCCAGTCTGTCCGTTTAAGGCAAGCTAGTCCGTAAGTTACCATTGAAAGCCATTGCAGGTAGCTAGAAAGCAAAAGCAGTCAGAACCGACGGTGTCACAGAAATCTCTTTCAGCCAAGAAAGAGATTGGTTGCTCTAAATTGGCGCATTCTTCATTTAATTTGCATTTAATAATTTGGCTCGTTCAAAAAGTTACTTATTTTAATGCGTTTCTTAGCTTTCCTTGTTTCTACTAGTGAGCAAGCAATGACCATGCACGTAGTGACGAAGCGCACCCCTGTAGGCGTGTGATTGGGGAATCCCTAGCTTAGGGGTTCTGTTGGGATTGATTTGATGAATGTGCCCAAATCATACATCAAACATGTTAAGTGTTGAAAGTTTTAGGTGCAGTCAGCTGCCTCCGTTAGACACATTCGGCTTTATTTTAACTGGCTATCTACGAGGGTAGGAACAAACAAAGTTCATAAAATGTTTATTTTAAAAGGAATCCAAGAAATGCCATTTCTCTGATACCTACGCTGTTTGTTCAGTTGATATCCCCGGAGGAAAGCGCCTTCACCTGAACATAACCCCAGCTGGTGCTGCTAGCAGCTCCTTTTCTCCAGTTCAAGATAAAAAAAAAAAGCTGGTGGGGCGCCTACAATAAGAACAACCACTGGCACTAAACTGTTAAAAAATGCAGGCACAAATATTTGTTTCTGGGTTTGTTTGGTTGCTTGTTTGCAAAACTAATGAAATTTTTGCCATATTCGCCGGGCGGTGGCTGACCCCAAAGCATAAAAACATAAAATCTGACCGCAAAAAATTAAAAGGAGAACGCAAAAAACCGACGCCACCTTGAGAGCGGGCAAGGTAAAGAAATCCGAGGCGAAGATGGCCACTGCAAAGGGTCGGGAGTCGGGAGTCGGAAGGCAAGTGCCAAAGACAAAGCGAACGAAGTCAGAGCGCTCCAGCCAGATTATTATGTCAAGTCACGTTTATGAGCGTAATTTCGACAAGACCCCTTCCAATCCCGACCCGACCCGATCCGCCAGACGGAGCCGCAATCGCCCCCAGCTGCACGGAGCATCGGGCATGGCCCCATCCCCATCCCCATCCCCATTCCCATCCACATTCGCATCCGGAGGACGCTTGTTAAGCGGCGAACACGACATTGCAGCAGTTAAGACACCGCCCGCCGGCATTCAATAAGCCGTTAAAAACTCACTAGGATGGAAGACCCCAAACAGATATATTTGGAAGTCTGCTCAGCCACTTTAGTGCCATACGTCTGCAAGTGCTTTAAAAATTATTGGAAATTTTCAAATTAGCTTTTTCCTGGACTCTCCTCAATCAATGTGTGATCATCAACTCAGTGATTAAAATACGGCAAGGGAATTCCGGGAACTTGTGTTTGGTTTTAGGCTAATGAGCAAGTGGTAGGAGAACAAAAATGACGGTCCTAAAGTTAAGAAACATGTGCAATACACCAGCAGCATTGATAAGAGCATTTTTGTCAGCCAATCGAACTATTTACACCATCAATGATTTATTTAGCCACACTGACTGCAATACTGTGACCTGTGAATGTGGCCATGTGATTTGATTAGTAATATTTATGATAATTGGCTATGTGATTAGGAGTCGCAATTAGTAATAAAATAAATGGAGTGACGGTAAAGTTGATTCAGTTATGAACGCGCTGCGATGCGATCAGTGTGGATATATGCGGCGCTTTTGGGTCTCTTCTCTCACCCAACCGAGTCCATGGATATTGAGGTAAGTCAGTTGCCTTTGAGCTGCTACCTCTTAATTACCTAACATTTAAATCCACCCACAGAGTTTTCGAAATGCTACCGCCATCCATAGTGAAGCAATCCGGTAAGTTTGGAGTTCCACTTCCATGTTATATGAAACAAGCATCCATTTTGCAGAAGTAAGCCTGCACTAGAAGCGTTGTACAAAGTGGTACTGGCCCTGCTCGAGGAGAACCAGCATAGTGCCAGTACCGAAAGCGTGCAAGAGATTAGTTCAGATTTGAATAGCACCGGATGGTCGGGAAGACATCGCTCCCACTGCCCCACCTATCCGGCTGCTCGCGGAATCTACACCATTCAGGTGTTGGGACTGGAACCCTTTCAGGTGTCCTGCGATGCCGAGATTGCCGGATCTGGATGGACTGTGATTGCCCGGCGCACCAGCAACAAGTTGAATTTCGTCCGCAGCTGGAAGGAGTACAAAAAGGGCTTCGGGCAGCTGAATGGAGACTTTTTCATTGGCTTGGACAAACTGCACGTCATTACTAAGTCACAGCCCCATGAGTTATACATACACCTTGAGGACTTTGAAGGACAGACACGATATGCGCACTACGACGAATTCTTTGTCGAAAGCGAAAACAAGTTCTATGCATTGACCAAGCTGGGCGGGTTTACCGGCGACGCAGGGGATTCCATGATGCACAACAGGAACCAGAACTTTTCCACTTTCGATAGGGACAATGATGGGTGGCACAAAAACTGTGCCGAGGAGTATATGGGTGCTTGGTGGCATGTGAACTGCACTCTAAGGTAATTCTCTTGTACGGCCATTGCAGATCTCAAGCATTTTATAATTCCAGTAATCTGTTCGGCGTTTATGTGAAAGGACATGACGGCCAGTACTTTCAGTGGAAGGGGATCGTCTGGCAATCTTGGCGCTCTGAGAGTTATTCCTACAAAGTGATGCAAATGATGGTTCGACCCAAATGCTATTGCTCCAGATAGGAAAGGGTTACATTTTGTAATTATACTGGATGTTCCAGCGACTAATTGTAATGTTTAATAAATAAATGGTCAGATTCAGTGGCACCAAAGGTCCATCTGCCTTCTGGTAGCTTAAAATAACTTTATAGCAAACTTGGAAGAATTCTACATAGTATGTATTTGCATTTCACTTATGATATAAGTAAAATAACGCACTTCGAAAATACTGTCGAAACATCATTTCGATGTCGAAGTGCTCTGAGATTCTATGTTTGTATGAACAGTGAACGGTTCTAATGTGCAATGTAGAATACTCGTAGAATATAAGTAAATTATGTCAGTATCCATGATGTAAGTAAAATAAATAACATCGAAATTAATTTCGAAGAATAATGTAGTCATCGATGTTCTATGATATTTTCCAAATGTTGTGCAACTAAACGAGGTTCGAGTCTTTGCTGACACAAAACACACGTGTAATGTAAAATATAAATAAAATAAGTAAATTTTGAAACAACGACCTTTGGGAATATTATGAAAAATTTATTCCTGGATTCGTGCTGAAAACATCTAATAGTATAAATAAATATAAATTTCAAGAGACGCCAGTGGCAATGTAAGTGAACTTAATAAATAAATTCACATAATTCGTTTTCCGTTCATCAAGCGCTTCCAATAAAATTGGGGTACTTTGTACAGCGCAAAGAATGCGAACTCGATGAGGCTGATAATGGAACAGCCCAAGCAAAGCTGACAAATGCCTCCAAATGAAACTGAAATGGATGGATGGGAAATATACACATGGACTCATCATAATAGCATACCAATCAGGTCCACCCAGGTGTAAATCAGGTTGGTCTTGTAGACCAGCATGGATGGTTTCTTGAAGAACACGTTGAGCCACATGCTCTCGACCGCGCTGGCATTGGGCTGCAGCCAGGGTTGCAGGACACTCTTCCGCATGTCGGTGAGCAGGGTGAGGGACTTGCAGTTGTGCAGGCACTCGCAGACCAGGCCGGACTCCTCCCGGTGCACATAGGGATGCTCCTCGGGCTGCTCGAAGTTTTGGAGCAAGTGGTTGTGGGAGGCCAGGCAGGGCAGATCCTTCAGCCGGCAGGCGGGGTAGCCGGATGGCGGGTAGAACAGGTCCACGGTGCAGTTGCAGTAGCGCAGCAGGTAGCGCTGCTGGCACTCCGCCTGGCAGTTCTCCAGCATATACTTCTGGCCCTCCAGGGTGTGAAAGTGCTCGCTCTGCTTCTCGTAGTCCATGACGCAGTGCCGCCAGCTGGAGGGCAGGCTCAAGGTGCTCTCGTCGTAGTAGTGGTACACCGCTGTGACGGCCACATTGGTGCGGCTGTGGGGCAACACGTCGATGGGAAAACCGAACCACACGGAAGACTCTACCACTGTCAGCTGGAAAATAAGCGAAGTTCCCGATTTAGCCTTCCAAAGCTGCGACTTTTACCCACCCAGAAGCCCTTCAGCCCTGGATTCCCCGGAGCATGATGCGCCTGCCGTAGCAGTAGCCTCAGCAGTAGCCCCGTGTTGATGCCCGTCTCCGTGCCGCGTCGCTTTTCCAGCTCGTTGAAGGCCAGGCAATAGCCGAGTGGCAGGCGGCGGGGTCGGAAGAGCTTACAGCAATCTCTTCGAGCTGTCTGCCAGTAACAGTCCTTCAGGATTTCGTCGCATCTCCAGGACATCTCAATCGCGATTTGCGTGAAGTTCAGGTGATTGAGTTCATCCAAGGACTCTCCCAGGAGCGTATCGAACACGTTGAAGTTGTGGAAACTGAAGCCATCGTAGGCAGTGAGGATGCGCTCGAAGAGTTCCTCCTGCGCCGGCGTGATGTTGTATAGCGACTTGGTCTCGGGCAGTCGGGACCAGTTCAGTCGGTTCTTGTTGCAGATGATGACCACTGGAAAGGCGATGTGGTGGATCGAGGCATGCGAGTGGGCTACGATGGTCTGGAACTGCTTGTTGTGGTATCGCTCCCCCAACAAATAGCTCACGTGGAACAGCACGGTGCAGGCGCAGATCAAGGCCAGGGCCCACAAGACTCTACCAAAGAAATATTGTTATTTCCGAGTTCCATGTGGACTTGCCAATCTCACCGCATGCGGCGTCGCATCGAGGGTAAGAAGAGCAAGTACAAGCCATGGATGTGCGATCTGGATATGTAGCTATCGAGCAGTGAAGTCCAGGCATTGGCTGGCGTCCAAGGATTTTGGTCCCGTCGCCTAATCCCAGCCGCCACAGCTCGCGATTCCTTTCCAGCTGAGCGAACGAACATTTTGATATGGGTCCTTTTGCCGCATCATGGTATTTATAAGCGAGCTCGAAAAGTTTTGATTATTGTAGGGTATGGAATATGTCAGTCAGTTTGCGCATAAAATAATCCATTCCCTCTGATTTCGATGCCAATTAGCTATGCAGTGCAAAAGATCGACTTTAACTTCGAGTGACAGGTAAGTAACGATTCTAAAGTTTCTTTGCTCATAGACCAAGCTTAGATAAACCAGACTGAACTGTTCTATAGGGTATTCAAAGGTCGCACCTCCACAGTAATCCGTTGCGGTGGATTTTTTATCACTGTTTGCAAATCAATTGCGATTGATTGCATTCAATTGAATTTATTTCGATGCTCATTAGCCCTAGCCATGACCATTGGCTGCGAATCAGGTCAGATCTCATGGGAGCAGGCAATCGATTGACCCGACCTTTGGGTGACAGCCGGGTTAGTCAGCTATTGGGCTAATAAGGCGCCGGCATGTCAGCCGCATTTTGTGAGTTGTCAACGCGCTAAACGGCATATAATTACCACTGCAGTTCAGCACGCATTCCCTTCACGGCACATTGGCGGTATAAAAACCTGGCGTGCCGTTCAACCAGGCTCAGTGAGTCCTGGCCGACATGACACTGGTTTACTTTCCGCCGCCAAAGCTGCAGCCGCAGCAGCAGCAGCAGCAACAGCCACTGAGATCCAGTCGCCTGGCCCAGCAGTTGGCCCAGTCCGCCTGGCAGCTGGCCCTGCGCTTCGGCACACGCACCACCATCCACGGCCTGGACAGGCTGCTCAGTGCCAAGGCCAGCCGGTGGGAGCGGTTCGTCTGGCTGTGCACCTTTGTGAGTGCCTTCCTGGGGGCGGTGTACGTGTGCCTGATCCTCTCGGCGCGCTACAACGCCGCCCACTTCCAGACCGTGGTGGATAGCACGCGGTTTCCGGTTTACCGCATACCCTTTCCGGTCATAACCATCTGCAACCGGAATCGCCTCAACTGGCAGCGCCTGGCGCAGGCGAAGTCCAGGTTCCTGGCCAATGGCAGCGACGCCGCCCAGCTGGAGCTCTTCGAGCTGATTGTGGGCAGCTACGACGACGTCTACTTTGGGCACTTTCAGTCCTTCGAGCGGTTGCGCAACCGGCCGACGGAGCTGCTCAACTACGTCAACTTCAGCCAGGTGGTGGACTTCATGACCTGGCGCTGCAACGAGCTGCTCTCGGACTGCCTGTGGCGGCACCACAGCTACAACTGCTGCGAGATCTTCTCGAAGCGGCGCAGCAAGAACGGCCTGTGCTGGGCGTTCAACTCGCTGGAGACGGAAGAGGGCAGGCGGATGCAGCTGCTCGATCCCATGTGGCCCTGGCGCACAGGGTCGGCAGGTCCCATGAGCGCCCTCTCCGTGCGGGTCCTCATCCAGCCGTCGATGCACTGGCCGGGCAGCAGGGAGACGGGTGCCATGAAGGGCATCGATGTCATGGTAACCGAGCCCTTCGTGTGGCACAACAATCCGTTCTTCGTTCCCGCGAACACGGAGACGACCCTGGAGATCGAGCCCGTCATCTACTTCTATGACAACGACACCCGGGGCGTTCGCTCCGACCAGCGGGAGTGCGTTTTCGATGTGAGTGGCTATCTATTTAAGTTCCCACAAGGTTATTACTAATCCTGCACTTGGATGCCCCAAGGATGAGCACAACAGCAAGGACTTCAAGTCGCTGCAAGGATATGTTTACATGATTGAGAACTGCCAGTCCGAGTGCCAACAGGAGTACTTGGTGCGCTACTGTAACTGCACAATGGACCTGCTGTTTCCACCGGGTAAGCACGGCATCAGAAACGTTTCCCAACCAACGGTTCATTGGTTTCATTGGTTCCATTGGCCAGGTCAATATCGGTCGTGTCGGGCGCAGGATTTGCTGTGCCTCGCTGAGCACAATGGTTAGTAGGAGCCTATCCAATCCTTTTATAAACCCAAACCCTCACCCGCAGACCTGCTCGTCTACTCCCATAATCCCGGCGAGAAGGACTTTGTGCGCAACCAGTTCAAGGGCATGTCCTGCAAGTGCTTCCGCAACTGCTACTCCCTCAACTACATCAACGATGTCCGGCCCGCCTTCCTGCCCCCGGATGTCTACGCGAACAACTCCTACGTGGATCTGGATGTGCACTTCCGCTTCGAGACTATTATGGTCTATCGCACCAGCCTCGTCTTCGGCTGGGTGGACTTAATGGGTCAGTACAGAATCACAGAGGCTCTATGGAGCTCCGAGACACAGCTCTTTTACATCCCCACCTGACTAAGTTGCTTGCCTTAGTTCCTTTCCGATGTATTAATCCTATAAAGATGATATCATTGCCCTTCTTCCAGTTAGTTTTGGCGGAATTGCCGGTCTGTTTCTGGGCTGCTCCTTAATAAGTGGCATGGAATTGGCCTACTTCCTGTGCATTGAAGTGCCGGCCTTTGGAGTGGATGGACTGCGTCGGAGGTGGAAGGCTCGGCGGCAGATGGATCTGGGCGTAACCGCGACCACGCCCACCTTGAACTTCCGACAAACCACGCCCAGTCAGCTGATGGAGAACTACATCATGCAACTTAAGGCCGAAAGGGCGCAACAGCAGAAGGCTAACTTTCAAAACTGGCACCGCCTAACGTTTGCGCAAAAGCCTTTTATTGGCAAGTGAATCGTATGAACGAATTAAATACGTATTTAATAAATGATTGCTTGACAATCAGTGGAAAATCTATCAAATTCGACTCGCCAATAAATTCGAGGGAATTTCACTTTCACGCTAGCTAATAAAGTGCATTTATAAAATTGTTGGCACACATATATTGGACTTTATAAATTCATTCAAAACTTTATTATTTAGCTTAGTTTTGTAGTATTTTTTGTAGTGTTTTAAAGTGTTTTGAATCACACTGAATACTTGTGATAACACAAAAGCTCTGGCAAATGATTTAGTTTATTGTAAGCGTGTGCATGATAAGGTGATGGGCTGGGCTTCTATTTCTGAGGCAATTTTCATTAGCAGTGAAAGATGTTTAAGAACAGCTTGCATTAAATAAGCCTTTGATTTCTTTACAATTAAGTTCGTAGTTATAATGCAATGCAGGTTATTTGACTCGTATATTTTAAATGTAGAGAGGCAGAAATCTAGACATAAAAAAGTGATTCAATCACATAATTCCTTTTAGAGTTGGTTAATTCGTATGTAATATAAAATATTGATCGTATTGAGAGATCATTCCCAGCACGAAGTGGCAAAGTAGGTGGTCCAAAACCCCGCGCTGTCCAAATCCTTCCCTGAACCCGTTGACGAGAGTAAAAAGCTCACCTACATGAGCACAGCGATCTGAACTGGCCGGCACGTTTCTACGATTCTCGTTTCTCGTATATTCCGATGCGGACACCTCAAGCAGAGTTGATAACACCCGGAGCAAATACCAGGTGTGTTGACCCACTGACGGGTGTTGTTCCAGCAGCGAAGCACCGCCTGCTATCAAGCATCGAATCTCAATCTCTGCACAGAGCACCTGTGACGTGGTCGAATGACTGCGTTCAACAGGTTGGTTCTATCAAAACAAAACGAAGCACAAGAGCTGAAAATTAATTAGGGTTTCATCAACCCACAAGCGTGTGTATTTCGTTGAATGTGGATGACTGTGCAAAACGCTTAGAGTGACACTAGACTGAGGCTTTTGGCTCTAAGAAAGCTCAAGGCGAGCGGTCTATTACGCTGGGACAGTGGGTCGCAGTTGAGTTGGCCAAGTGGAAAATACTATAAAAATTTATTTGAGAATATATAGGGTAAGTCAACCAGATAGTGCAGGGAAGCTGCGGTAACTAATCTATCTATCTATTTATTATTCACTATTAAAGTAGCTAATAGAACAGCCTTTAAAATAGAAATACACTGCAACCCACTGTACCTTTACCACCCAATTAGTTTAGTTTTACGATGACACCACATTCATATGAAAAGCTCGCAATTGTCGTTAAACATTTCCCCAAAAACTAACACCATTGCGGCAAATATAAAACGCTGAGTTCTACACGGCCGCAAAATCAGTTGGTTGCGAAAGGCACGCGTAAAGGTTTCGATCGCAAGTTGCCCTGTTTAGTTGGATTTCGACATGGTGGTTATAAGGAACGAGCAGAATATCTCGGTGCCCGCGTATCTCAACGAGCAGTTCTTCACAGAGACCCTCGAGGAGGGTCTGCGGGAGTCGAAGGTGACCCTGAAGGAGATCCACTTTGCGTGGGGCAGCAATCCGGGCGACAACTACTGCTCGGCTATCTATCAAGTCGGAGTCACGTTCGCCAGGTGGGTCGATGGTGGGGAATCCCCGGCGACGGAGCAGCTTTCGCTGATTGTGAAGACCATCCCGATCACCGAGGCCACCCAGTTTCTGGATGACGTCTGCGTGTTCATCAAGGAGAAGCAGACCTACACCGATGTCTTGCCGCGACTGGACATCCTCAGCCATGGCGACACATTCGGAGCAAAGTAAGTGGCTGAAAGCTTTTGGCGAACTACACAGTGCTACTAGCATCTCAATCCCACATCAGATACTATCACTCCGTGAAGACTCCGGTGCAGACGATCGTGTTCAGCGACCTCAAGGTGGAGGGATTCAAAGTGGCCTCGCGGGAAGCTGGCCTGGACTGGAACCACGCCTCCCTCATTCTTCAGCAGCTGGGAAAGTTCCATGCCACCTCCATGGTGCTGGCCAAGAAGGTAACAGTGATTCTCTGTACGATCCTGGCACCTCGTGCTGACCTCCATTTGGCACTTCCACAGGATCCCGCCATTGTGAAGCAGTACACACGTGGCATGCTCAGCGAGGACATCCTGATGAAGAGCGACACCTTCGAGCACATGTTCGGCGGCTTCCTGAAGGGCCTCATCAAGAGCTCTGCGGGCTGGCCCGGCTACGAGAAGATTAACAAGCACCTGCAGCGGCTCATGGACAACTTTCGGACCGTGTGCGTGGATGCGTGCAAGCCAAGGAAGGGGGATCGCTACGTGGTGCTCAACCACGGAGACATGTGGACCAACAACTTCATGTACGGATACGATAACGCTGCCCAGCCGGACGTTCCCACGCGCGCCATCTTCGTGGACTTCCAGCTGAGCTTCTATGGCAGTCCGGCGTGCGACCTGAACTTCTTCCTAAACACCAGCATCAAGTTGCAGCTGCTGCAGGAGCGCCGCGAGGAGCTCATCAAGGTGTACTACGCGGCCTTCAAGGACGCCCTGGAGTACGCCCGCTTCGAGGACATTCCCACCTACGAGGACCTGCTGTACGAGCTGCGCAGCCGCGAAACCTATGGGCTCTTCGGCATGTTCGCCTTCCTGCCCATGATCACCATGCCCAAGGAGCTGGCCCAGGACAACAGCATTGAGAACATGCAGGACGAGGCTTTCAAGCAGCGCAAGATGGATGCCATCTTCTCGCAAAAGTTCCTGAACGACCACCAAAAGTGGGCACTGCAGCGGGCGGATGCCCTTGGCGTCTTCGGGGACTACTGAAAAGTGGCATGAGTATTCTGGAGGTTGGGGTTCCTCTGCCTTTGTGATAAAAATGGAGGCTCTTCCAAGGCACACATCCTTAATACAGCTATATTAGCTTCTCGCCTGAGAATGTAAAGTGCAAATGGTGGGCTTTTTAATTGATTAAAGTACTTAGCCTGAAAGTGTTGGGCTATCGCAATTTATGTTTTATTTGGAAAATATCTATTCATAGTCGATTTAGTATCAATTATTCGATAAGTGTACGCTGATATCTGATGCTTCAGAAAATTAAATATTAAGATTACATTGTCGCGTGCAACTAGGAACGTATCCGTCGAATGGTTTGAGTTCCGAAAGTGCCAGTAAAACAATAGAGTTTAGGATGGACACGGAGGGGGAGGAAAGCACAGGCAGCTCGGATTGGAAAATTGCACATTATATATTACGCACTCCTACTAGAGAGTACAATCATCTTCAATGACAACGTACGTATTAGATAATAGTAGCGTAAGCCTTCAAGTGCATTCAGAATTTGATGATTTCATGGTTGTTTCCCCTAAACATTCTCAGTCAGTTTCTGCAGCCTGGGAACATTTTGTTAGATAGAGAGCCTATCATTAGGTCAGCCTATAAAAAAGTTGAATAGTGTTATCTCTTGTCTCATTTTTTTTATTAAAGCTAACCTAGGAACAGCAGATTAATGACGCTGAGGTATACTCATTTTTAATCCCCATAATTTAAACAGTAGGGTTTCGAAATGGTAAATCTAGAAATTACCAATTTAAATCTAGAAGACTACCTTATTTATATGATCGAATGCTTGTGCTGAATCATATTACCTGTATGGTGGATATAGAATTCAATCATGGCAAGCAAATATATCATAAATGATTACGTACAAAAATAATATATTTAGGAAGCGTTCGCGAGTAATTAAGTTCGGATTGACACTTGACTGCAAGCGTTCCCTTATCGGAAACTCGTTGTACTAATGCAAATTCGAATCAAAGCTTGATAAGATAATGAGCTGCCAATCGATGTAAGTGGCATCCATCCACCAGAATTGGAAAAGATTCAAACTGAATATTGTCGGCAAAGCCCCAAACAGGAAGTCAAATTATTAGTTAAATACGCCTAAAAAGGTCGACGTCTCCGTCTCGCGTTGCGTGTTTTACAGATATCGAAAAATTAGACATCTCGTTGTCGCCTATTAAAGTCTATATATAACTGAAAGTGTAATACTCACATAACTGGATACATATAACTATAATAAATTGCGCCGCTGGATTCCGCTGGGCAAGATCATAGAGAGCCCCACTGACTCGTATATAAATTGAGCTGCGCCCGGTAGCCACTTTTCAAACGATCGCAAGATGTGTAGCATTGTGTTCGACGCGGACGTGGTTGCTCCACCCAGCCACCTGGACGTGGCCTTCTTCGAGGAGGTGCTGGAGACAGCCCTGCGCACAGCCAGGGTGCAGCTGCTCGCCATTCACATTCGGATGGGCAGCAGCACGGGCGAGAACTACTGCAGTCAGATCTACAGAGTGACGGTATCGTTCAGGCGACCCGATCATCCAGAGCAGCGCATGGCGTTCATTGTGAAGAGCATTCCCCACCTGGACTCGGTGGAGTTCATTGACGACCTGCAAGTGTACCTCAAGGAGAAGATCACCTACTACGAAGTGCTTCCCCGGCTGGAGCTGTTGATGCAGTGCAACCGCAGCTTCGGGCCTAAGTGAGTCTTAAAAGATCTTCAGCCAGTTCCAACATTACTCATACGCACTGTTGCATTGCAACGACGTTGATATTATATATCAATATAAAATATGCAAAATACATTTAAAAATAGTGCACCATTGATGTACGAACACAAATTATTCCTGACTAACTATCCGTATTACTTCCAAAGACTTTACCACTGCCTAAAACAGCCGGAGAACTGCCTGGTGTTCGAAGATCTGGCCGAGAAGGGCTTCGTGATGGCTTCACGCGAGTTGGGCCTGAACGAGGAGCACTGTCAGCTGGTCATGGAGCGCTTGGCGGAGTTTCATGCCACTTCGATGGCCTTGGCGGTGCTGGTAAGTACTTTTTATAAACGGAGAGTATGGTGAAGCCGTGTTGAACCACCTCGACATGCCCAGGATCCCCACATCTTTGATGCATATGGCGACGGAATGCTATCGCCGAGGGGCTTGGCCAAGGACGATGGACTACTAATGCAGTTCTTCTCGGGCAATGGCAAGGAGTTGCACCAACTGGTGAGCACGTGGCCTGGCTTCGAGGGCATTGCCGAGAAGATCGGCAAGTACATGCAGAACCAGCGGGCCAACTTGGAACGGAGCCAGGCACCGCAGGAAAAGGAAATCAAGGTACTCAACCACGGCGACCTGTGGGTCAACAATTTGTTGTTCAAGTATGACGCCGCACGGCGCCCGCAGGACCTCATCCTCATCGACTTCCAGTTGAGCGTGTGGGGCAGTCCGGGCATCGACCTCAACTATTTCTTCTACACCAGCCTGACGTTGGACGTACTGCGACATCGGCGGACCCACCTGCTGCGCACCTACCATGCGCGGCTGGCCAAGACGCTGCTCGATCTGGACATGGGCGTCCCGGTGCCCAGCTACGAGCAAATCCTGGAGGAGGTACACCGTCGCGAGTCATACGGATTCTTTGCCAACTACGGCATCTTCCCCACTATTAGCCAGGACAAGGCCCAGACGGCCGACAACAACCTGGAGAGCTTCAAGGACGCCGATTTCGCCAAGCAGAAGGTGCGTCAGATGTTCCAGTCCCGTCGACTGGCGGATACACTGCGCTACACGCTGCCGCACTTTGAACGCGCTGGAGTCTTAGGTTGAAGAACTATTACACTACTTCATATTTGTACGATTTTAATATAACTACCCAAATTAGGAATTTTACAAAAATGTATTTGCTGATTTTACAGTGCTTTCAGTTGTTATTTCCTAATGTTCAAGTTTAAAGTGTTAAAAACCTTGCCAAAAAAATATATCTTATATAACAAAAAATTGCAAAATACCGGCTGTGTTCTACTCTTTACTTTACTAATTACCAATTACCAATATTTGAAATGGGGCTTGAAGTCTTTAATAAATGCAATATGAGTGCGAGTGTTTATTATTCAGCGACAACGTATGCAACCCTTCTTAAATGTTCTTAGCTGCAACCAAAATATCTATTTTAAATAGACAAGATATATTTGTATTGAAAAAGCGATTTAGTTTGACATGTTTACATATTTCAACCTTAATTTCCCTCAAAAATCTGCCTTAAAGGGTATCCGTAGGGATTTTCTAAAGTTTATGGAATCTCTTATAGCTGTGGAAGTATTTTAGTCAAATTCTAAATAAATAGCAAGAAACACACAGCATTAAGAAGTCAACCGTACTTTTCTTTATTTATAAAAATACAATTGCAATGTCACTGTTTAATTGCACATCATGTTTCGTTTTTGTATTGAAATCACCAAGAGAATACAAAGAAAATTGCTTGTATAAAGGACTTTAACTAATCTGCACTCGTACACAGCTACTTAATCGATAACTTGTTACTCCGCTCATTTCATCAATTAGATTCCATCTCAGTTTGTCCCATCAAACAGTCTAGGGCCAAGCTAGAGTCATTTACACTAGACATACACTTAATCGTTACTCATTCGTTTGTTGAACTGCAGCAAGAAGTTCCCAAACCAAAAATTACGCTTACATAGCTTAGTGAACTAGAAAACTTTACGCTTATCGGTTGGCTTTTTGATCAGATTAGCTCCAGACGTCGGCCGAGTAGCGCTTCTGAGCCTCCATCTTCTTGATATACTGCACGGCGTCAGCCTCGCTCATGTTACCCTTAGTGGACAAAATTTTCACTAAAATGTTCCTAACGTCCACGGCCATGTTCTTCGCATCACTGAAATGGGAAGAACGGATAGTGAGAATATTGTAATACCAACAGTATCCTCTAAAAACTTACCCGCATATGTAGAAGTGCCCCTTATTCTCGCCAATCACGTTCCATATAAGATCCGCGTCCTGTTCAAGCAGGTGCTGTACATAGACCTTCTTGCCCTGGTCACGGGAAAAGGCGGCCTTAAGGTTGAGAGTGCCCTTCTTAACCCACTCCTCCAACTCGGATTCGTAGATGTAGTCCTCGCTGCGCTTACGGCAGCCGAAGTAGAGAATCGACTCGCCAACGGTCTTGCCCTCATCGCGCAGGAACTGTCGCTCCTGAATGAAGCCGCGGAAAGGGGCCAGGCCGGTGCCGGGACCCACCATTATGATAGGCGTCTCTGGCTTCGTAGGCAAACGGAACTGCGACTTGCGGATGAATACCGGCACCTTTACTTCCTCACTGCCTTGCGGTTGCTTGTTCTTCAGATATGTGGTGGCCACGCCCTTGTTGATGCGCCCTGTCGGAGTCTTGTACTCCACGAGAACGGCTGTCACGTGGACATCAGTAGGGTGCAGCTTAGCAGACGACGAGATGGAGTAGTAACGCGGCTGCAAGCGGGGCAGCAGTTCGCAAACGTGATCGATGGGTGGGCGACACGATTTGATGTCTTCCAGAATGTGGACAATGTTGCGACATGCGTCTTGAATCCAGCTCTGGTACTTCTCCTTTCCTGCAACACAACATACATTAGAATATGTTCTTGGGAGTTCATATTAAGTTAAATGCAGTACAGTACAAGCAACAATACTCCTTATGAATAAATTCGTACCTTCGGGACTGATGGAGGCCATGCTGCGCAGCAACTCCTTCTCCTTCTCGTCAGTACAATACTCAGCGAGCTCCTTCAGGATGTGCGTGCGGGGAATAGCCGTAATTTCCAAATAGTGGGTCAGAGCCGTGCGGTACGTGGTGGGGCAAGGGAATGGGTGCTTCTTGCTGCTGTCCGTATCCGTGTTGATCAGCGAGAACACAGTATCCAGATCGGCTTTGCACAGCTGGCCGAGTTTCTCCACCAGACTCTTGTCGTTGACAGGGAACATGGCCACATGGTCCCCGGCGTCGTAGCGCATCTTGGATCCATCGATGCTCAGCTCTATGTGCATGCAGGAGCGACCGCCGCCCTTGTGCAGCTCGCGGTTCACCTTAATGGGTGCCAGGAAGGGGTTCTTGGCGTCGAAGGGCGGACGCTGGTTCTGAATCGAGTGCAGGCGCGCGATCTCTCCCGTGTATA